TAGTGATACTGCCTCAGAAACCCAAGGAGGGGTCGCTATGAGTCAGGGCCGACTCGACGGCAAATAACAACAACAACAAATGTATGCCAAGGAGCTCTGTTAGCATAGTGCCTAAGGCACTTGACTGCTCACCAAAAGGCTGGCAGTTCAAACCCATCAGCCACTCCTCAGAAGGAAGGTTGGGCAATCTACTCCATAGTGATACTACGGAAACCCAAGGAGGGGTCTCTATGAGTCAAGTCTGACTCAATGACACATAACAAACAACAACAACAATGTATGCCAGGCATTGTGTAAAAGGTATTTTGCATAAATTATTCTTGATCCTCAAAATGACCCTATTATCTCCATTTCATAGATGAGGCAATGGGTTCAGAGGGAGTTCATAGCTTATCCAAATCCACACAACTACTTAGTGGTGGAACTGGCTTCTAAACCCAACACTTAATATTTGTGCTGCCTCTCATCTCATTTGATACAAGGAAGAATAACACAAGATAAGCAAGTAGGTATTATCATGTTAATCTTACTGATGAGAAAAGTGAGGCTCAGAAAGATTACAAAGATAACATTCAAAAGAGATAGGCAAAGTACCAGATGTGGACTTGACTAGTGTTCTTCTTGCAGTTTAGTTTACCTTAAACCATAAATCCAACCCAAACATATTGCTGTCAAGTTGGTTATGACTCATAGTAACAGCAGAGGACAAAGCAGAACTGTCACATGGGGTTTCCAAAGCTGGAAATCTTTATGGAAGCAGACTGTCATATCCTTCTCCTCCAGAGCAGCTAGTGGGTTCAAATTACCAACCTTTTGGTTGGCAGCCAAGTGTTTAACCACTGCACCACCAGGGTTTGATGCTAGTTTACCTTAGGAGATCAGAAAAGAAATGAAAAAAAGAAGAGAGGCAAGGTGAAAGAAGAATAAAAGGTAAAAAGAAGAAAGAGATAGCAAAACAAAAGTCAAAGAGGAGAAAAGAATATAGAGAATAAGAGAGAAAGTAAGTAAGCATGGTGTAGTAAACTACATAGTATGGCTTTTCTAGCCAATAAGTCTTCGTAAACTCCATGGTGGAATTTGCTCTTGATTGCTAAAGTTATCCACCTGGGGTATTTCTGTTGTGAGTGGCATGAAGCAATCTTCTGGGAAGTTCTCTCTCTCTCAGGTGTATAGAATTCTGATGTTGGGATTGGTTAGTTTGGCTACTCTTCCAGGGTCAAAAGGAACCCTGCTAGAGGCAGAAGGCGTCTCTGACTGCTGGCTGAGAAAGACATGCTGCTGAGAGAAATGCACTCCTGAGAGACGTGAGAGACACGTGCTGCTGAGAGATACAAGAGACACGCACTGCTGAGAGAGAGACATGAGAGACACACAATACTGAGAGAGTGATGTGCTACTGAGACTGCTGGCTGCTGAGTGAGTTGGCCGGCTGCAAGAGACTGAGAACATTTCTGAACTTGAATTGCAGTCTGTGCTTCCCTAACAAACCCCATAATCTGTGAGTTCTGTGTGGCCACTGCAGCGAATTATCAAACCCTGAAGAGAGGTGGTGGGTGCCGCGGAAGGAACTGGCGGTGAAAGGGCTGGAGGGAGACAGCATATCTGGCCTTGTAGGAATAGGCCTTGGGCTACTGATAGTGATTCTGTGTTCCTCTTGTGGGGTTAAAGGAGGTCAGAAGATGGTGCCTCCTTGCCCCTTTGGCAGTAAGGCAGAAGACAATGAAAAGGCAGAGAGAGGACAAAAAGAAAAAAAGACAACAGAAAAAAAGGGAAATGCAAAATAAGGATGTGACTCACTGCCAGGAGTTCCTCAATGCCTTCCTATACTATTCCCTACTTCTTTATGAAGAGGGTAAAACTTACTGCCACAGTTCTAGAAGTGCATTAAATGCTTTAGGAGAGAAGTATGTGTGAAAATCCATCTGTGCTAAAAAAAAGTCTTATATTTCATTATTAAATACCAAAACATGAAATGTAAATATACTTTAATCAATTGTTGTTGTTGTTATGTGCCGCCGAGTCAGAACCGACTTATAGCGACCCCTCCTTGGGTTTCTGAGGCAGTATCACTACGGGAAGTAGATTGCCCCATCTTCCTTCCGAGGAGTGGCTTGTGGGTTTGAACCACCAGCCTTCTGGTTAACAGTCAAGTGCCTTAGGCACTATGCTACCAAAGCTCTTTTTAATTTTCACGAATAAAGTGTTCTTCAAACAAGCAACAAAATTAAGAAAACTGACTATCTTGCATTTCTCAAAAATCTTGTTTTCCATTGAATGATGAAAATACATACACCAGTGCATAATCAACACACAAAAGCAATAGAATTCTAAAATAACTTTGTACCTGAACTGTTTTTTGCCTCTCATTTTCACATGCTCAAATAGTTCCTCTCCTAAGAAAAATCTCTCACCCCCAAAACCAAACCCTTCATCCTCCAGCTACCTCTCTTCATCTCTTCTTCTTTACAGCCATTTTTCTAAACTTGTTATTTCTATATCCTAACCTCTGGCAGCATAGTGGCTAAGACACTTGCCTGCTAACCAGATGGCTGGCGGTTCAAACCCACCAGCCACTCCTTAGAAGGAAGGTTGGGCAATCCTACTTCCGTAGTGATACTGCCTTGGAAACCCAAGGAGGGGTCGCTATGAGTCGGGTTTGACTCGACAGCACATAACAACAACAACAACCTCCCATTGCCTCTCGAACCCACTCTAAATAGGATACTACTTTATTATCCTACAAGACAGCTCTTGAGAGGTTCGCAATGACCTTCATGTCACTAAATCCACAGGATATTTTTAAGTCTGTACTTTATTTAACCTTTCCGGAGTCATAGAGTACTGATGTTACTCCTCTTTCATGCAACACTCTCTGTCCCTGTATTTTACTATCCCACAATACACAGGTTTCTCTCCTCTTTTTTTGGTCTCTCCTTCTGACTCCTTGTAGGATCAACTTCCTTAACTCAGCAACCTTTTGCTGGAATTCCTAAAGGCTCAGGTTCTCTTCTTTTCTTATTCTATATATTTCTCATTTAATCAATCTCCCCAAAATGCTAGCTTCACAACTTCACAGATGTATTACTTCAATTTAGACTTCTCCTCTGTAAGCCAACCTCATCTATCATTTGCCTATTGACAACACCTGGATATGGCAAAATACATGAAAACTAACTAGTTCAAAATCAAACTTAGGACTATCAAAAGAAAAGACTAAGGTCTTTCTTTTCCTACCCTAAGACTATTTTTGTGTTTCCTATCAGGGACTTCCAACTGGAAAGAGTATCTATTGAGCTGGAGAAAGATTTAATTATGCTTAAAATAGAATGTATTAAGTACGTGAATTCAGAGAAGTTATTTGGAGAAAAAGAATTAGGAGAAAAATGCAAGAGTTTATACTGGCATAACCACAAATGTGAGATGAACCAAAAGCAAGTTGGAGTTAAATCAAATGACTTGTGAGACTCAATCAGAAAGGTAGCCTTGGCTACAGAGGCTCCTTCCATATACTAATAATATGAAGAAAGTTACAAATAATTTAAGTAAAGGATAATTCAGTGTGGAGCAACACATATTCCATCCAACTTGCTCCACCTGGCAGAAGGTCTGGGAAAATGCTGGGCTATAGAAAATCACAGTCACGCCTGCCAAAGTGCACCTAAACAAATTCATGCTTTCCAATATTATCTATTAACATTCTTTCTATGAAACAATCCTTTCTTATAGTTCTTGTAAGATTTCCCTTCTGTGACCCATAGCTATGACTGTTCCAAACATGTATCACTCTTCTCATGCTTTTCAATTACAACCCCAATGATCATTCCTTCTTTCACCAAGACCTTGTATCCACTTCACAAACAAAAGGACTCAGAATTAAATTTCCCCAAGTTTTCTACTCTCTCCTTCCAGATGTAATTATAACTCTAATTCCTATCTCTTGGCTTCTAGGGCATTATTCATCTGTATTTTTACTAAAAAAAAAAAAAAAACTCACTGCCATCAAGCTGATTCTGACTCACAGCGACCCCCACTGGGTTTCCGAGGTGATACATCTTTACAGAGGTAGACTGTCCCATCTTCCTTCCACGGAGCTGCTGGTGGGTCTGAACCACCAATGTTCTAGTTAGCAGTCAAATGTCTTAAGCACTGTACCACCAGAGCTCCTATAACTTTGCTACTCTTTTAAAATTTTTTGTGGGCATTTCTTACTATCACTCTAAACCACACACACAGACATATACATACACACACATTCCTAAGATTCTGTCCTTGGTCCACTTTATTTCTTTTGGTCTGTTCTCTCCTTAAATGACTTTGTACATTCCAATGCTTCAACTACTTTTATACAGCAACACTGAAAAGTATGTACCCAGCTTCAAACGTTCTCTGAGAGTTTGGATCCATGGCTCCAGTATCTTATTAGACATTCCCCCTTAGATTTCTTGCACTAATTTCAAATTTTGCTTATTGAAAGTTAAATGCCTTACCTGTTTCTCCACTCCATCTTTTTTTAATTCATAAAATCTCCATCTTGGTTAATGTTTACTAATGCAGAAATTTCAGTCACCGCTGACAAGGAACCTTCCCTAACCCTCACATCCAATATGTTATTATCATCATTTATACTTCAGAAATGCCTACCTAAATTACTCTTTTCTGTTCTGTTCCATAGATCAGACATATCTTAGGCAGGCCTTAATTTTACCTTGGCAAAGGTGTGAATTCACTGATTATTCCTTCTGCTCCAAGTGTGACTCCCTGGACAATGAATGTACTTCCCATTCCTTTCCAAAGGGCTCTTGGTCCCTAAAGGAATAAAATGTATTGTTATTTCTATTAATTCCTAAGTAGAAATGCAAAAACGTGTTAATAAAGCTTAATACCCCTACCACTTGTCTGTTGAGTTTCTCTTACTATGGTATTAGAAAATGAAAAGAGAACAACATGTTTGCCATTCCTCAAGCTGCAAGAACTAAAGAAAAAAAATCAAGGCTCGAGTTGCAATATAGAAGAATTCTATGGGTAAAATATTGAACGGTGCAAGATGTATCAAAAGAAGATGGAATACACACAGTCACTGTACCAAAAAGTATTGGTTAATGTTCAACCATTTCAGAAGATAGCAAATGATTAAGAACTGATGGCCATCAGAAGAAGTCCAAGCTGTACTGAAGGAATTGGTGAAGAACAAGACTCCAAGAATTGACAATATACCCACTGAGATGTTTCAACACACAGATATAATGTTGGAAGTACTCACTTTTATGCCAAGAAATTTAGAAGACTGCTATCTAAGCCAATCAACCAGAAGAGATCCATATTTGTGCCCATTTCAATGAAAGGTGATACAAGAGAATGTGGAAACTAATGAACAATATCATTAATGTCACATTTAAGTAAAATTTTGCTGAAAATAATTTGAAAACAGTTGCAGGAGTACATAGACCGGGAACTGCCAGAAATGCAAGCCAGATTCAGAAAAGGATGTAGAATAAGCATCCTTCAGAAAAGGATGTCAAATGGAACTTGGCTACAAGCAAAGAAAACCAAAAAGATGTGTATGTGTGTTTTATTGACTACACACAAAGGCATTTGTGTGGATCATAACAAATTATGGATAACATTTGCAAAGAACAGGAATTAAAGAACACTTAATTAGGCTCAGGTGGAACCTGTACATAGACCAAGAGGCAGTCACTGGAGGAGAACAAAGGGATACTGCATGGTTTAAAATCAGGAAAGGTGTGCATCAGGGTCATATCCTTTCACCGTATTTATTCAACTGGTATGCTGAGCAAATAATCTAGGGAGCTGGACTCTATGAAAAAGTACACAGCATCAGGATTGGAGGAAGACTCATTAATAACCTGCAATATGCAGCTGACACAACCTTGCTTGTTGAAAGTAAAGAAAATATGAAGCACTTACTGATGAACATCAAAGACCACAGTCTTCATATGGATTACACCTCTAAGGCATTTGACTGCTAACCAGAAGGATGGCGGTTGAAATCCACCAGTCACTCCTTGGAAGGAAGATGGGGCAATCTACCTCCATAGTGATACTGCCTCAGAAACCCAAGGAGGGGTCGCTATGAGTCGAAATTGACTGGACAGCATATTACAAGCACAGCAACTCAACACAAAGAAAACAAAAATCCTCAAGACTGGACCAGTAAATCACATCATGATAAATGGAAAAAAGGCTGAAGTTATCAGGGATTTCATTTTACTTTGATCCACAATCAACACCCACAGAAGCAGCAGTCAAGAAATCAGACATCATATTGCACTGGGCAAATCTGCACCAAAAGACTTCTTTAAAGTGTTGAGGAACAAAAATGTTACTTTGAAGACTAACCCAAGCTCTGGTATCTTCAGTTGCCTCTTATGTATGTAAAAGCTGGACAATGAATAAGGAAGACGGAAAGAGGTGAAGCCTTTGAATCATGGTGTTGGTGAAGAACACTGAATATACTATGGACCACCAGAAGAACAAACACATCTGTCCTGGAAGAGATGCAGCTGAATGCTCCTTAGAACGGAGAAAGGCCAGACTCATTTCTTGCATTTTAGTCATGTTATTAGGAGGGGCCAGTTCCTGGAGAGGGATATCATGCTTGGTAAAGTCGGTTAGTGAAAAAAGGGAAGACCCTCCATGAGACGGATCCACACAGTTGCTACAACGAGCTCAAGCACAGCAATGACATAGAATGATGCAGGATTGGGCAATGTTTCCTTCTGTTGTACACAGGGTCACTATGAGCCCAAACTGACTCGATGGCACTTAACAACAACAAAGTTTGATATTTAATGTTTATTGATATTTTCCAAATAGGGCATAATGCTACTATCTCTCCTAGTAGAGGACTATAGCTAAACTAATTTTCTGTCATTATTTTCAAGTTTATTGGATGAAAATTCCAAATAATTAAATAATCTTAACTATTTGAGTAACTATAGCTCCAAGGAGCATGCCAGCTGTACTTCTTCAAGGACAGATTTGTTCATTCTTCTAGCAGCGCATGGTATTTTTAGTATTCTTTGCCAACACCACAATTCAAAGGCAACAACTCATCAAACAGAACCCTTGAGTATCTCAAATTTTACGTATCCACAACTAACGTAAATCATATTCCTTCATTCCAATCCCGTACCAATTTGTTCCTTCTCTGTTGTACTTCCTGTCTCTCTAGAAAACAGCTTCATCATTCCAATGTCCAAATCATATATCCAGATGACACTTTTGTCTCAGTCTTTGATCAATCACCAAGTTCTAACAATTCTACTCGTTTAATATCTTCCATCCCCTTTTCTCTATTCTTACATCATTACTTTATATCAATTTGACTAATTACAACAGTGTCACTGTTTCTAGGCTTGCCCCTTTCTACAATACCATTAGTGTTATTCCTATTATGATCGGTATGTTATTAACCAATAATATACAACATGGTACAATTCAAAAGAAACATAAGGGTTTCTGATGAAAGTTTACCTCCTTTTCACCCCAGTCCTTTAGTAACAGTTTCTTATTTGTCATCCAGAAATAGTCCACATGTTTACAAGTACATGTCTGTACTTATGGACAGATGAAGGTTTTGTTTTGTTCATTTTTAACAGGTGGCAGCTTACTATGTGCATTATCCTGTACCATAACAGATATCCTAGAGATCATTCCTTGTCAGCACACACAGTTACCTTCCTATTTTTAACAGCCATACTGTGTTTCACTACATAAACATACTGTGATTTACTTTAGTAGTACCCAATTGATGAACATTAAATTGTTTCTAATCTCATTATTATAAGTAATGTTACAATGAAATCATGAATATACATCTATCTTTCTACATAGACACATATACCCACATCTATGTAGGATAAGTTCCTAGAAGTGAAATTAGTAAATGAAAGAATACATACACTTTAAATTTTGATATATTCTCAAACAACCCAAACTTGCAAGTTTGTTCAAGACACTTGGATCTGCTAAAAAATCGTCCATGGTGACTACAGCTTTAAAGATCAACTGTGCAATTTTCAGAAGCCCTTTATAATCTGAATCCTGCTTACTTCTCTAATTCCTTTTCTTTCTCTATTCCTAGTCATTATAACCTCTCCTTCCCTTATATCTGTCTACTTCGAATACTTTCCTCCACCTTCATCATTTAAAGACAGCCTCCTCAAAAATAAGGACACAGCTCGGGTGTTCCATCTTTACAAAGTTTTTCCTACTCATACCCTGTGCCCAATTCTAGTTTGAAAAAGAAGCTCTCTTCTGTGCATATAACATTTTATACTTCTAACAATGCATTTATCTTACTGTACCATATTTTAAGTTTCTGATCCCAGGAATAAAGTATAAATCTCTTCATAGCAGACAGCTGATCTTAATTGTGACTTTGTTCTCAAGAGCTCAGCATAGTTCTTTGTAGTTTTTGGTGAATTAATTAACTAAATGAAATTTTAGAAGATACAGAAATGTCATTACAATGCTACATCATTTTTAGTAAGAGAGTTAAGATACTCTAGTAAAGGAATTATTCTTGCTTTAATCACTAAACTCAAATAACACATTAAATATAACTTTAAATATAATCTATATACCAACTCTTACTTACCTGAGTTTTGTTGAAGCTGTACATAATATTGATGACTGTAAATGGAGTGAGATGATAATTCCGAGCATGGTAATTAACCTGAAAGATGACATTTCATGATTCTTTTTTATTTGTTTTATGAAGAAATAAGGCTATCAAAGATATAGTTACAGCACAAATGTTAAATTCTAAAGTAAAGATATAGTTACAGCACAAACGTTAAATTCTAATATAACATACATATGTGAAAAAGCACCCTTGAAAGTACTTTAAAAAATCATTAAAAGTAGCATACGTATAGGTATATAAATACAACCTTGAAGACAAATGTAAAATATACATAGTAATGTACAAAAATAAAATAAGCCATGTTGTCTGATATTTATGTTTGCTTAAACACTAGAATTATAGTCAATGTGGCTAAATGAACATCATTTACCACAAAGGAAGCAAGAAGAACTCAGAACAAGAGATTTGTCTCCCAACTCATGCTCATTTTAGGCAAGCATTTTTCAAACTATAGGTTGCAACCAATTGATAAATGATGACATCAGTTAAGGGATCAGGACCAATATTTATCAAGTGAAAAAATAAAGTAAAAATACTAGTATGTGTTACACATTCTAAGGGTATTATTAAAAAAAATTGTTTTAAGTTACTCATATATATATGCATACACTGGTTTACAATGTAAAACATGTCTGAAATAAACTGTTCTGAGGCATATATATTATCAATGGTATTTAGTCATTTTACTACATACACTTTCTTTTTTTTTTTCTTTTTTTATTATTTTTTTTTTTATTAGGATTTGGGTGAAGATTTACAGAGTAAATTCACTTTTCATACAGCAGTTCACATATACTTTGTCTCATGTCATTGAC